GATCGAGTGCCCCCCTCCCGGCTTACCAGGCAATGCGCCCTTGGCATTGGGATAGTGTCCCCATGCCGATAGGGACAAGGGCCTCTTCCCCACAACCCTGTCCAGGTAGTGGTGAGGGTCTGAGGGCAACGGAACTAATTAGCATCAGGGTACACCTTTAAATAAGGGGGCACCTTGATGCTGCCCTCTTGTGAATGAGTAATAAATAATAAAAATGCCAGACTTTTGAAAAACTCCTTTAACTGAACAAAAAACAAAAGTTTTTGACAAGTCCTTTAATTTAAAAAAAAAAAAAAATGGTTCCATCAATGTAATCCATTGTCGATCAAAGCATCCAGTGTTGTCCTGATCTCACCAAAATACAAAAAAAAAAAAAAACTCGAGGCCCACCGACCCGTCTGCACCCGCTGAGCACTCACCGTAATATGAAAGGTCTGGCAGTTGCCGGTCAGATGTAAACAATTGGGTGGAGGTGACGCCAGACCTGTCAAATGACGTGACGTCAAATGTCAGAGCTGTCATATTGCGGTGAGTACTCATCGGGTGCAGATGGGGCAGCGGGAGTCGGGGTTTTTCTTTTCTGTCTTACAGCAAGTCGGTGTTGTGACAACGCTGGACGCCGTGATTGATGATGGATTTCAACGATGGAACCAATTTTTTTTTTTTTTTTTTTGAGGGAGAATTGCTTTGGCTAATCATGGCTCTAATGGCTTCCTTAACGTCCATGTGTTCAGCAAATATACATTTTGAGTCAAATTTATGTTCGATTTGAACATCGAGCCCAACACTTCATGAATTAGCTTAAGTGGATCATGAGTCAGTTATGGCAAGTTATCAACTGCTCTCCATATTTATGGGCATTACTGATGATAAACATCTTTGTCCTTTGCCATATGCCATGGCCCCAGTACCTGGCTGAGCAAAGTACAAACTGGCTATAAATGCAAGTTAAGCTATGCACAAAATCCATGAGATCTGTTACATTATAGTTATTGTTACTAAAACTGCATGAAAGCAGTAGAAAACTGTCAGACAAAAAAAAAAAAGCTTTCCTCCTCCAAGGCAATGTCATAATGTGCTAGTATGCATCACATACTAGCACATTATGAGAGACTTACCTTAAAACAAAGCCCTCCAGAGGAGCACTGTCACCTCTGACAGGTCTTCTATCTGCACCTGGTCTTCCTTCCGGGAGGTGCACGGGAGTAACACCGCGGCACAGCTCTCTCGATGGACGGCATGCTGTCCATTGTGTTCGAAGTGTGGATGCGCCAGTGACATCACCTAAATAAATATCTCTAAACTGTGCATGTTTAGGAGATAGTTCTAATACCTATGGGTAAACCTTAATTATAGGTTTACCTGTAGGTACAATATATACTCACTGTCCACTTTATTAGGTACACCTGTTCAATTACATGGTGACACAAATTGCTAATCAGCAAATCACATAGCTGCAACTCAATGCATTCTGGCACGTAGATGTGGTAAAGATGACTTGTCGAAGTTCAAACCGAGCATCAGAATGGGGAAGAAAGGGGATTTAAGTGACTTTGAATGTGGCATGGTTGTTGGTGTCAAACGGGCTAGTCTGAGTATTTGAAAAAAAACGCTGATCTACTGGGATTTCACGCGCAGTCATCTCTAGGGTTTACAGAGAATGGTCTGAAAAAGAGAAAATATCCAGTGAGTGGCACTTGTGTGAACAAAAATGCTTTGTTGAAATCAGAGCAGAATGGGCACACTGGTTACTGCGACATTCAGATGGCAGGATCAGAATTTGGCATAAACAACCTTGAATCAGATGTGCTGCAGCAGCAGAAAACCACACTGGGTGATACTCCTGTCAGCTAAGAACAGAAAAACGGAGGCTACAATTCACACAGGCTCACCAAAATTGGACAATAGAAGATAGGAATAACGTTGCCTGGTCTGATGAGTCTCGATTTCAGCTGCTACATTCAGATGGTAGGGTCAGAATTTGGCGTAAACATGAAAGCATGGATCCATCCTGCCTAGTATCAACGATTCAGGTTAATGGTGGTGTAATGGTGTGGGGGATATTTTCTTGGTGCTGGGAAGGTGTACCTAATAAAGTGGCCGGTGAGTCTGAACAAAAGGAGTGTAATACCTCTTTAAGAAAAAGCCAAGAAGAACAGTGCCATTAATTGCAAATGACATAGGCTCCATCATGAATTTCACATGCAGTTTCACATTAATTCAACCACATGAAGGAAAAAAAAACACAATAATGAAGTCCAGAGCCAGAAGAACATTATAAATACTAAATGGTAGCAATGTCTTCAATGAAATTAGGTCCGCAAAAAAAAAAAAAGCATATCTAAACTCCGCAAAAATTTAATATATTGGCAGCTTACCAATTCTTAGATGCGGTGGCTGCGTAAAATTTTCTTTTTTAGGATTTTTTTTTCTTTACTTTGACCAGCTGATCCTGTCTGTAAGTCTGTTATTTTTCAATTTGATTTTTTAATAGACCAGCAAAAGTGGCAGCTAGAGAGTTGAGTCAAAAACATTTACCACTAAACAGGGGTACCTACATCGGTTATTCATTTGTGTAAAGCCTTTATCCCAAAAGGGGAAAAAAAATACTGTTGTAACTGCTTATAAAGTGATAGCTGGGGTTAGGATTTTGATTTGTTAGTTACTTATGCAAAGTCCATCTAACACTACCTTCTCCACAGGCTGATAATGCTGCAGTCAGAGTGTGGCTACTTTGCTTCTCCATAGATGCGGTGAAGGAGTGGAAGTAGCCACTGTAAGATAAGTGTATTACTGGCCTGGTCACCATGTGAAAATAAAAGATAAAATGCCCACAAAAGATAACCAATGAAGCCACCACATCTAAGGATTGGAAAGCTGTGATATATTACATTTTTGTTTTTGGATTTAGATACAGTGAAGGAATTAAGTATTTGATCCCCTGCTGATTTTGAATGTTTGCCCACTCACAAAGAAATGATCAGTCTAAAAATCGAATGGTAGGTGTATTGTAACACTGAGCAACAGAATAGCAACAACAAATTCAAAAGAAATGCATGTCTAACAAATGATGCACTGATTTGCATGTTCATGAGGGAAAGAAGTATTTGATCCCCTTCACAAAATATGACTTAGTACTTTGTGGCAAATCCCTTGTTGGCAATCACAGAGGTCAGACTTTTCCTGTAGTTGGCCACCAGGTTTGCACACATCTCAGGAGGGATTTCGGCCCACTCCTCTTGGCAGTTCCTCTCCAAGTCATTAAGGTTTGGTGGCGGACGTTTGGCAACTGGAACTTTCAGCTCCCTCCACAGATTTTCAATTGGATTAAGGTCTGGAGGCTGGCTAGGCCACTCCAGGACCTTAATGTGCTTTTTCTTGAGCCACTCCTTTGTTGCCTTGGCCGTGTGTTTTGGGTCATTGTCATGCTGGAACACCCATTCACGACCCATTTTCAATGCCCTGGCTGAGGGAAGAAGGTTCTCACCCAAGATTTGACGGTACATTGCCCCATCCATCATCCCTTGATGCGGTGCAGTTGTCCTGTCCCCTTAGCAGAAAAACACCCCCAAAGCAGAATGTTTCCACCACCATGTTTGACAGTTGGGATGGCGTTCTTGGGGTCATAGGCAGCATTCCTCATCTCCAAACACGGCAAGTTGAGTTGATGCCAAAGAGCTCGATTTTGCTCTCTTCTGACCACAACACTTTCAACCAGTCCTCCTCTGCATCATTCAGATGTTCAGTAGCAAACTTAAATTGGCCTGGACATGTGCTTTCTTGAGCAGAGGGACCTTGCGGGCACTGCAGGATTTCAATCCTTGTCGGCGTAGTGTGTTACCAATTGTTTTCTTGGTGACTGTGGTCCCAGCTGCCTGGAGAAAATTGACAAGATCCTCACATGTAGTTCTGGGATGATTCCTCACTGTTCTCATGATCATTGACACTCCACACAGTGAGATCTTGCATGGTGCACCAGACCTAGGGAGACTGACAGTTGTTTTGTGTTTCTTCCATTTGCGAATGATTGCACCAACTGTTGTCACCTTCTCACCAAGCTGCTTGGCGATAGTTTTGTAGCCCAGTCCAGCCTTGTGTAGGTCTACAATCTTGTCCCTGACATTCTTGGACAGCTCTTTGCCATGGTGGAGAGTTTGGAATCTGATTGTTTGATTGCTCCTGTGTTCAGGTGTCTTTTATATAGGTAACAAAATGAGATTAACAGCGCTCCCTTTAAGAGACTGCTTCTAATATCAGCTTGTTACCTGTATGAAAGACACCTGGTAAGCAGAAATCCGGCTGAATGATAGGGGACCAAATACTTATTTCCCTCATGAACATGCAAATCAGTGCAAAATTTGTTAGACATGCTTTTCTTTTGAATTTTATGTTGCTATTCTCTCAGTGTTTACAATACACCTGCCATTCGATTTCTAGACTGATCATTTCTTTGTGAGTGGGCAAACATTCAAAATCAGCAGGGGATCAAATACCTATTTCCTTCACTGTATGCTTTAATGCAAACTATAATGCTTACTGATTTAATGCTATAATGGTTACTAGGTTGCTGTTTCCAGATCCAGAGTAACATCTGCATAGCACACATACACTAACATTGTTGTAGGTGTTAAAAAAACAGAATACAGTTACATTACTTTCATTCATAAATATTTTAGTTTTTTTAGCCATATCATTGATTGCACAGCCCTGCCTACTTCCATACTGTCATAAGGAATATCTATTTCAAGTGAAGAAAAGACAACACTCCAGTTCCAATTAATGTTTATTAAGTATTTCTGTATACAAACTTTCAAAACAATAAAAAAATGCCCAAAATTGGATACTTTATTGAGGAAATCCTGGTATCACATCATCAAAACAAAATCCTTTTATTAGCACTCCTTCCAGAGAAATGCATGGATATGAAAACTTACTGACAGACCACCTCCAGATTAAATAGCAAAGGTAAGGCCCATCTAATGTTTTTATGACCAGTCTTGCTAATCCTCCTCTTTTTCCACATAGGCCTTAGTATTTACTCGAGCCATTTGTCGAGCAAGGTACCGGTCCCTAGCTGATACCACAGTCTCTTCATTACTGCGTTTTGCAAACTTACTGGTTGAGGAATTATCCACATTTTGGGTTTCTCCTACATCACTCCTGGAATCATTTTTAGGTGGCATTTCAAATGGTGATGAGCTTCGCTTTTTATTAATTTCACTGTGCTTCTGATCTTTATATGGTTTTTCTTTCACTTCTATGTCCCCTGAATCCAACCTTTCACCACGTTCCCTGTCTGGTCTCTCTCCACGCTCCCTCTCTGACCTCTCTCCACGCTCCCTCTCTGACTTCTCTCCACGCTCCCCTCTGACTTCTCTGACTTCTCTCCACGCTCCCTCTCTGACTTCTCTCCACGCTCCCTCTCTGACCTCTCCCCACGCCCACTATGAGACCTATCTTTGTTATCTCTCATTTTTTCTCCTCTCTCTAGCTTGTGTTCATGTTGTCGCTCTGGCCAATCTTTGTAGTCTTTATCTGACCTCTCTCCATATTCTTTGTACCTATATTCTTTATCATTCCTGTCCCTTCCCTTTCCATCATCCATCCTATCTTTGTATTTCTTGCCTCGTTCTCTGTCTTTGTCATTATAATATTTACCCTCTTCCTTTCTATGCCTACCATCATCCCTTCTTCCATCCTTGTTACTTTTATGTTCTCTCCTTTCTGCAGCTCTTAGCTCAGAATCTGACTCTTCTCTCTTTCTGTGTCGGTCTTTGTCAATAGGTTCCCCATGTCTCGGTCTTTCATCAAATTCTTCCCTCCATTCTCTGCTATAATCCCGATGGGATTTGTCTTTGTCAGACCGACTTTCTTCCCTCCTGTATCTGTCCTTTCCTTTATGATTATCTTGTTCCTCACTGGATGAACTGGAATGTCTCTGTCTGTGATAGGTCTTTTCACTTTTTTTGAGACTGCCTGATTTGCTAGGAGGCTTTTTGTCAGCGATGTCCTCTTCCTCACTGGACTCTGTACTCAAGTCACTATCAGCATCAATGTTTTCTTGCTGGCTAGTTTTGTTCACTTCATCTGGATAGCCCCTTGGTTTCTCCTCTTTTACCCTAGACATGGAACATAAAAAAACAAAAAAAAAAACAAAAAACAACAATTGGGGACCGTTCAGTAAAGTCGGTATATAAACACAAATACCTACAGTATATAAACACAATGTTGGTATGCAATGTAGATTGCCATGAAATGTTCAATAAATATAGAAGATTAGGGCAAATGAAAAAAAAAAAAAAAAAATCTCTATAGCTTTAGGGACCTAACTTACCTGTAATAAAAGATGTCCCATGTTGTGCAGGCCCTTGGATCCTGTTGAGATTTCTGCACAGAGATGCCCAGTCCACTTCTTTCTGCTGAAGGTATCGCGCTGAGGGAGAGAACGGCTCCAAGATTTCTTTTGTGAAGGTGCAGTGAACAAGCTCCTGACGGGGACCTGCCCCAAAGTTTCTTCTTCATGTTGCATGTAACATAATCTGTGAATCAAGGAGAGAGAATCCTGTGTCTCATCAGACTCTTTCCCCATTCAGAGATCATGTTACATGCTGTGCAAACAACTATGAAATAACCTTTCCCCATGGAGGAGGGAGGGAGGGGTGGTTCTTCCTCAGAAGCTTGTTCAGTGCAGCTTCAGACTTGCATCTCTCAACCTCCCCAACTGGAAGTTCAGCAGCAGGAAGAGGACTGGGCATCCCTGCACAGAAACTTTCTATGGGATACAGCAGCCTGCGCATTGTGGGACATACTTCGTTACAGGTAATTTAGATATATATATATATATATATAGTATTGAACTATATTGTTGCTGTATTGCCTCCCTTTATTTTGTAAAGCTCTGAGCAAACTCTTGGCGTTATATAAATCCTGTATAATAATAATATATTATTATATTATATTGAAGAGGAAGCATGACTTACAGATGAGAAAGTAATGACATGTTTTGCGTACAAAGAGGAAGTGATGTGACATTCTTTTGCTTCCGCTGCGTAATGAGACACCTAGCCAAAAGGTGGCAAGCCTCACTTTCATCATTCACCGTGTGCGCTGCTTGTAATACGGAGTTATGTCAGAGGTTACTGAGCTTCAAAGAGGGCAAATTGTTGGTGTCGCTTAGCTGGTGCCTCTGTGACTGAAGCTGACAATTTATTTGCCGTGTCACAAGGCACAGTATCAAAGGTTATGACGGTATATACAGTTTCCGGGAAAATGTGGTCTGATAAGCATAAGCATGATCCACATCAACTGACCGAAAGAAACAAAAAGCACATTGCAGAAAATTGTGACCCGGAATAAGAAAATAACTGCTGAAAAAGTAACTGGCGAGGTCAATCTCAGTCCCATAAGTGGGCACCAACAATTTGCCCTCTTTGAAGCTCAGTAAGCTCTGACATGACTCCATGTTACTAGCAGCACACACAGTGAATGACGAAAGTGAGGATTCCCACCTGTTAGCTAGGTGTCTCATCACACAGTGGAATCAAAAGAATGTTACTTTCAAATGCAAAACTTTTTTTTTTACCTGTTTAAAAAATAAATTATATATATACACAGTGCCTTGAAAAAGTATTCATACCCCTTGAAATGTTACACATTTTGTCATGTTACAACCAAAAACGTAAATGTATTTTATTGGGATTTTATGTGCTAGACCAACACAAAGTGGCACTTAATTGTGAAGTGGAAGGAAAATGATAAATGGTTTTCAAAATTTTTTACAAATAAATATCTGAAAAGTGTGGTGTACATTTGTATTCAGCCCCCTGGAGTCAATACTTTGTAGAACCATCTTTCACTGCAATTACAGCTGCAAGTCTTTTTGGGGATGTCTCTACCAGCTTTGCAAATCTATATAGTGAAATTTTTGCCCATTCTTCTTTGCAAAATAGCTCTCCAGCTCTGTCAGATTGGATGGAGAGCGTCTGTGAACAGCAATTTTCAAGTCTTGCCACAGATACTTAATTGGGTTTAGGTATGGACTATGATTGGGCCATTCTAACACATGAATATGCTTTAATCTAAACTATTCTCTTCATAGAGGCCTATTCTGTCCCCACCTAACAATTGTACATGTATTTTGTCTATCAGCCCATCTGCCACAGTTATTATCCTTTACATTTTTCGACCCTCCCTCTTAGATTGTAAGCTCTAAGAAGCAGGGCCCTCTGAATCCTCCTTTAGGGCTCGTTCACACTTGACTGTTTTACCAACGCTTGCCAAATGCCCCTATAGCGTTTGACAAGCATTGGTCTGGCGTTTGCGGAGCGTTTTTTAATGCTCGGCAAACGCTCCACAAACGCTGCATGTGCGGTTTAGTGGCGGTTGCTAGGTGTTTTCCGAGCATTAAAAACGCCCCACAAACGCCTATAATGAAGTTTAAATGGTGTTACCGCTCTGCAACCGCCCCACAACCACGTCACAAGCGCACCACAAATGCCGGGCGTTTGCGGAGCTGCACTATAGACTAGAATAGGAGGCTTCAACGCCTTCTGACTCGACCAGAGGCGTCCATTTTGCCGCGACGCTAACACTCCCGTTAGAACAGCACCATGTGCTGCAATGTGCAGAATTGTCCGAGGCGTTTGGGAAGTGGTAAAAACGCTTCCCAAACGCCTCTCTGCCGCCTGCACACAACGCTAGTGTGAACGTAGCCTTATTCATTTGTATTGTAATTGTCTGCCCTTATGTTGTAAAGTGCTGTGCAAACTGCTGGTGCTATATAAATCCTGTATAATAATAATAATTCCATTGTAGTTCTGGCTGTATGTTTACGGTCGTTGTCCTGCTGGAAGGTGAACCTCCGCCCCAGTCTCAAGACTTTTGCAGACTAACAGGTTTTCTTCTAAGATTGCACTGTATTTGGCTCCATCCATCTTCCCATCAACTCTGACCAGCTTCCCTGTCCCTGCTGAAGAAAACAATCCCCACAACATGATGCTGCTGGAGGTGATGTGTTCAGGGTGATGTGCAGTGTTCGTTTTCCGCCACACATAGCCTTTTTATTTTAGGCCAAAAAAGTTCAATTTTAGCCTCTGATCAGAGCTCCTTCTTCCACATGTTTGCTGTCCCCCCACATGGCTTCTAGCAAACTGCACAAAAGACTTCTTATGGCTTTCTGTCAACAATGGCTTTCTTCTTGCCACAAAGGCCAGATTTGTGGACTGCATGAATAATAATTGTCCTGTGGACAGATTCTGCCACCTGAGTTATGGATCTCTGCAGCTGCTCCAGTTACCAGGGATCTCTTGGCTGCTTCTCTGATTAATACTTTCCGTGTCCGGCCTTGGGTGGAATGCCACATCTTGGTAGGTTTGCAGTTGTGCCATACGCTTTCCATTTTTGGATGATGGATTGAACAGTGCTCCGTGAGATGTTCAAAGCTTGGAATACTTTTTTATAACCTAACCCTGATTTAAACTTCTCCACAACTTTATCCCTGACCTGTCTGGTGTGTCCCTTGGCCTTCATGATGCTGTTTCTACACTAATGTTCTCTAACAAACCTCTGAGGGCTTCACAGAACAGCTGTATTTATACAGACATTAAACTGCACACGGGTGGACTGTATTAACTAATTAGGTGACTTCTGAAGGCAATTGGTTCAACTATATTTTAGTTAGGGGTATCAGAGTAAAGGGGCTGAATACAAATGCACACCACACTTTTCAGATATTTATAAAAAAAATTTGAAACCCATTTATCATTTTCCTTCCACATCAGAATTATGTGCTACTTGGTGTTGGTCTATCACATAAAATACATTTACGTTTTTGGTTGTAATATGACAAAATGTGGAAAATTTCAAGGGAGTGCATACGTTAAGTGTGTGTGTGTGTGTGTGTGTGTGTGTGTGTGTGTGTGTGTGTGTGTGTGTGAAAAAAGCTGAAGATACTGAAGATAATAGAAATGTAAACTATTGGCCAATAAAGAGCAGTCTTTGTATGTTTAGCCTTTTAGTAATTCAATTACATGATACTATATGTATATAGCTTACAGAAAATGAATATGTTCCATCTTAGGCTTTGTAAATCATATTTTTACAATATGCATTTGTATATTATAATTATTCATCATTTAAGTTGATTCTCTGAAAACTAAAACTGGCTTTCAAACCATTTTATCAAGAGAGTCTGCACAGGCCTATGCTTGGCAGGCATTTCAGACCAAATGCCCCTCTACTGTTAGGTTCCAGAACGAGGTACAAAAGTTCATGCTTGTTGACCACTGTGTCACTTCCTGCTGACCTGAATACTGTAATCAACATTTTGAACGCAGCTAGCAAATAAGCTGCATTTTTTCACTTCGAGAACTCCATAACCCTGGAATAGTTACTGGTTACTCAGCTTCTTCTCTCAGCTTATGTGAAGACTCTGATTTGATGGCTTTTTTTTTTAATATTAAACATTTTATAGATTTGTGCGTATAATAACTTCAATTATGCAATGATGTGCAGATGAAATAAACAAACAAGAATCTTTTTGCATGATTAGATAATTTAAGGGAATATTCACACAATTTGTTTGAAGAGTAATTCGTGTGAAGAGTCTCAAATTCTTTAACAAATTACTTAATCTCACATCTGTTTTCCAATTTTCAAAGTGCGTAGCTGCAGGTTAATTTTGGTACAGGGGGTAAAGGGATGTATAGCAATTCTTACCCTGCATCTCTCAAACTGCATTCTGGAGCCTTTTCTTCCCCCACAGTCTGATTTAAAAGATGTCTATAAAATCCACTCAGGTCTTTTTGTTTGGTAACATCAAGAGAAGCTAAAGCAATTACAAATGAGAAGAAAAACATTTTCAGTAATCTCTTCTAAAAGCCATATAAACTCAAGAACTACCAGCACTACCCAAGCAAACATTTTAAAAGTAGATCTCACTTGCACCTTGGTAAAGTGATCAACAGCCCTTTTGAAAACAAAACACTACTAGTGCTATCATAATAAAAGATTGCCCACTTGACTAAAAGTCTGTAGGTAAAAAGAGAGGTTGTATTGCATCTGTCACACTCCTTAGAGGCTTGCCAACAGTTCATGTAGGGTGCAATCATAAGAAAATAAAGACCTTTTAAACTACTATGTTTATAAACGTACCTCTACTCATTGGACGAGTCTGCTATTCGGGTCATTCTATCTCATATCAGAGCCTGCTCTTTGGCGGAGGGTCTGGATTCACAAATATTATGTAAGCATAACAAAACACATTCTACATATAGACTTCTGCAAACGATCTGGGGTAAGGCATAACGGGATTCACATCTTACTGCCCCATTTGGTGCAACCTCACCTATTCAGGGTTGGCTAAACTTCAACACTCTGCCAAATGGCAAGCGTTTGGCATATATCACCTGCAACACGTATTGGCAAACTGCTCCCCTTTAAAACCATGAAAGCTTGCTATAAGTTACCAAATCTTATGCTTTTTTTATTATTACCAGCTGTTCCACGCAGTAAAGGCACAGGGTGTGTATCCCCCTCTCCTATCTTTAATTATATGCAGTCTGTTAATTCCACTAAGGGGTTAATCTCTCAATGTTAAGCTATGTTACTGAATACATACCTAGAGGGCCACCTGTGCAAGGTTGGTACAATCTGGGAGAGGGACGTAGGGGTGTTTGTGGAGGAGTAATGGGATGCAGAATAACAATCAGTACAGCTAAGCTCCCTCAACGTGTCTCACAGATTGTCCCAACTTCATATTCTTTTAAGGATACACTACACCCCAGCTAAACTCCATGCCACGGGGCTGCGTAATGACCCACTCTGTAACAAATGCAAAATAAATCAGAGATCTCATTCACATGCTCTTGCAGTGTCCAAAACTGAACTGATTCTGGTAATCCGTAGTAGATACCCTTAACACTGTTTTTCAAACCGCCATAAAGTTAGACCCGAAACCTTGCATATTAGGAATTCTAGATGATGGCAACTTATCTTCATATCAGATTGAGGCATTATCCAAAATGCTATTTCAGGCTTGTAGATTGCTTCTTCAGCACTGAAGGCTAGAGACTCCTCCAATTAAAGAGGAGTGGATCCGTGCTGTAAGGAAAACTTTATGCTATAAGTTAATATAGCTCCACTGTAGATGCCCAGCACAGTTTGAAAAATTGTGAAAACCCTGGTTGGCTTCCCCAAATCTGGCTCCATTGGATTTGGTTTTACACAGATTATTGTAACTCTCTGAATTGCTTGGATGTAGTACGTACTCCCCCCAAAAATCTGGTTTGAAACTGTCCATATCCTGAGAAGAAAAGTATTGGAGGCATGTATTCCTTTGGATTTTTGCCTCCTGTCAGTTGATGTAATGTATGTATACCACTGTGCTTTATTGTGCCTCTTTTTGTACTCTACACTGCTTTGTTATGGCTTCTGGCTGTATATACTAAAAAGTTTCTGTTTTGTTCTTTTTCAAGTATTGTATGACTGAAATTGTAACAAACTTTTACTGATAAAAAAAAAGTTGATAAATGTAATGGTTTAATAAAAATAAATATCAACCTCCAAATTATTGTAGTTTCCTTTTACCTACGACCCCAATTCCAACTGAGTTGGTAGACTGTGTAAAATCTGCATAAAAACAGATTGCAACGATTTGCAAATCTCATAAGCCCACATTCTATTCACAGTAAAAAAAGCTGGCAAAGTAAGTGGTACTAACAAAGAATAGCTGAAAGAGGTCAGTAACATGATTGGGTATAAAAAGAGCCTATCAGAAGGAAAGATAGGCAGAAGTTCAATAATCAGTGAAAAGCTAATTGTTGCACAATTTCAGAATAATGTTCCTCAACATAAAATCGCAAAGACTTTAAATACACTCACCGGACACTTTATTAGGTACACCTGTTCAATTGGTTGGTAACACAAATTGCTAATAAGTCAATCACATGGCAGAAACTCAATGCATTTTGGCGTCTAGACATGACAGTGAAGACGACGTACTGAAGTTCAAACCGAATATCAGAATGGGGAAGAAAAGAGATTGAAAAAACTTTGAACATGGCATGGTTATTGGTGCCAGAAGGGCTGGGCTGAGTATTTCAAAAACCGCTGATCTACTGGGATTTTCATTCACAATCATCTCTAAGGTTTACAGAGAATGGTAAGTGGTCACAATTTGGCATACATGAAAGCATGGATCCAGCCTGCCTTGTATTAATGGTTCAGGCTGGTGGTGTATTGGTGTGGGGGATACTTTCTTGGCACTAGCAAGGCGTACCTAATAAAATGGCCAGTGAGTGTATATAATCATCAGTACATAATATCTTCAAAAGATTCCAAAAACCTGGAGACAAGACCAAAACAATATTAGATGACCATGATCTTCGGGCGCTCAATCTGCAGTACATTAAAAAAACAGGCATGATTCTGTGATGGCCACTGTATGGGCTCAGGGATACTTCCAAAATTCACTGTCTGTGAACACTGTTCACTGTGCCATCCAAATTTGAATGTCAGAGCTCTATTACGCAAAGGAGAAGCCATATCCTGAGATGCCGCCATCTTCTCAGGGCCAAAACTTATTTAAATCAGTCTGTTGCAAAGTGGAAGACTGTTCTACTAACAGACTAATTGAAATTTGACATTCTTATTGGCAACCATGGGTACCATGTCCTCTAGACTAAAGAAGAGAGGGACCTTCTGGCTTGTTATTGGAGCTCAGTTCAAAAGCCTGCATCTCTGATGGTATGGTATTAGTGCGTATGTAATGATCAGCTCTCCACATCTGGAAAGGCACCATCAATGCTGAAAGATATATTGAGGCTTTAGGGCAGCACATGCTCCCATCTAGACGGTATCTTTTTCATGGAAGGCCTTGCATAATTTAGCAGGACAATGCTAAACTGCAGACTGCATCTATGACAAGAGCACAGTTTCACAGTAGTAGAGTCTGGGTGCTTAACTGGCCTACCTGCAGTCAAGACCTTTCACCAATTGAAACTATTTAGTGCATCTTGAAATGAAAAAACACAACAAGACGACCAAAGACGGTTGAGCAGTTGGAAACCTATATCAGGCAAGAATGGGACAACATTCCTCTTCCAAAACTGCAGCAACTGGTCTCCTCAATTCCCAGAAATTTAAAGAGTGTTAGAAGAAAAAGGGATGCTACACCGTGGTAAACATAGTTAGTGTGATTGAGAAAATCATACAATTCTATCTAGTTCAATTCACAGAGAGAACAAAACCCAAACACAAACAGAAAACGTCTATATACACAATCCTATACCCACAGTTGACCCAGAGGAAGGCAAACAACCCAAAAAACCATGATCCAATTTGCACCAGTAAGGGGAAAAAATCCTTCTTGATCCCCCAAGAGGCAAATCGGATATTCCCTGGATAAACTTTACATACAAATATTAGTATCAAGTCATATTTTGTGCATTTAAAACATTCTACTGAACTGAGCCAGGACCAGCTCTTGAGGGAATCTATTCCACATTTTGACAGATCTTACTGTGGAGAAGCTTTTCCATATTTAAAGGTTAAAACTCTTTTCCATCCAGACGTAAAGAATGCCTCATTGTCCTCTGCGAAGACCTCAAAGTGAATAACGCTACACCAAGTTCACTATATGGACCACTTATGTTATATACATGTTTATCATATCCCCCCTTAATCGCCTAATCTCAAGAGAGAATACATTCAGTTCCTCTAATCTTGCCTCATAGCTGAGCTCCTCCATGTCTCTTTATCTGTTTGGTTGCCCTTCTATTGCACATTCTCCAGCTCCCCAATATCCTTTTTGTGAACTGGTGCCCAAAACTCAACTGCATATTCAAGAAGAGGTCTCACTAATGATTTCTACAGTGAAAAATATTGTCTCTCTCTGCAGTCTATACTTTTAATAGTAGAAAGGGTTTTGAACGACAAGGTATACTCATGTTTTATTTTATCTGTGTGTGTTTACTCATAAGAATGAAGAAACTGATCAGTCTCTGAATAATCTGTGTACAATGCTACAGTCAGGTCCATAAATATTGGGACATCGACACAATTCTAACATTTTTGGCTCTATACACCATCACAATGGATTTGAAATGAAACGAACAAGATGTGCTTTAACTGCAGACTGTCAGATTTAATTTGAGGGTATTTACATCCAAATCAGGTGAACAGTGTAGGAATTACAACAGTTTGCATATGTGCCTCCCACTTGTTAAGGGACCAAAAGTAATTACATCCAAATCAGGTGAACAGTGTAGGAATTACAACAGTTTGCATATGTGCCTCCCACTTGTTAAGGGACCAAAAGTAATGGGACAGAATAATAATCATAAATCAAACTTTCACTTTTTAATACTTGGTTGCAAATCCTTTGCAGTCAATTACAGCCTGAAGTCTGGAACGCATAGACATCACCAGACGCTGGGTTTCATCCCTGGTGATGCTCTGTCAGGCCTCTACTGCAACTGTCTTCAGTTCCTGCTTGTTCTTGGTGCATTTTCCCTTCAGTTTTGTCTTCAGCAAGTGAAATGCATGCTCAATCGGATTCAGGTCAGGTGATTCACTTGCCATTGCATAACATTCCACTTCTTTCCCTTGAAAAACTCTTTGGTTGCTTTTGCAGTATGCTTTGGGTCATTGTCCATCTGCACTGTGAAGCGGCGTCCAATGAGTTGTGAAGCATTTGGCTGAATATGAGCAGATAGTATTGCCCGAAACACTTCAGAATTCATCCTGCTGCTTTTGTCAGCAGTCACATCATCAATAAATACAAGAGAACCAGTTCCATTGGCAGCCATACATGCCCACGTCATGACACTACTACCACCATGCTTCACTCATGAGGTGGTATGCTTAGGATCATGAGCAGTTCCTTTCCTTCTCCATACTCTTCTCTTCCCATCACTCTGGTACAAGTTGATCTCGGTCTCATCTGTCCATAGGATGTTGTTCCAGAACTGTGAAGGCTTTTTTAGATGTCGTTTGGCAAACTCTAATCTGGCCTTCCTGTTTTTGAGGCTCACCAATGGTTTACATCTTGTGGTGAACCCTCTGTATTCACTCTGGTGAAGTCTTCTCTTGATTGTTGACTTTGACACACATACACCTACCTCCTGGAGAGTGTTCTTGATCTGGCCAACTGTTGTGAAGGGTGTTTTCTTCACCAGGGAAAGAATTCTTCGGTCATCCACCACTGTTGTTTTCCATGGTCTTCCGGGTCTTTTGGTGTTGCTGAGCTCACTGGTGCGTTCCTTCTTTTTAAGAATGTTCCAAACAGTTGTTTTGGCCACGCCTAATGTTTTTGCTATCTCTCTGATGGGTTTGTTTTGTTTTTTTCAGCCTAATGATGGCTTGCTTCACTGATAGTGACAGCTCTTTGGATCCCATCTTGAGAGTTGACAGAAACAGATTCCAAATGCAAATAGCACATTAGAAATGAACTCTGGACCTTTTATCTGCTCATTGTAATTGGGATAATAAGGGAATAACACACACCTGGCCATGGGACAGCTGAGAAGCCAATTGTCCCATTACTTTTGGTCCCTTAACAAGTGGGAGGCACATATGCAAACTGTTGTAATTCCTACACCGTTCACCTGATTTGGATGTAAATACCCTCAAATTAAATCTGACAGTCTGCAGTTAAAGCACATGTTCGTTTCATTTCAAATCCATTATGGTGGTGTATAGAGCCAAAAATGTTAGAATTGTGTCGATGTCCCAATATTTATGGACCTGGCTGTAAATGTGTTCCAATATAGTTTTTAAACATATGCCTGATATAGAATAAAGATGAAAATAGATGACTAGATTTAAATGTCTTTTGGGAAGCACCCTCCCCTCCCCCACCCCACCCCTTCATATACAAAATATGAAGACAGGTTTTGCTAGTGGTTTGTAAGGGAGAAGAATACTCACCTTACACCTCAGTCAGCCAGAACTGGCGTCTTCTCCTTTCCTGGAATGTGGGAAAGCTCTTCATGTCATCAAACACAATGCAATACTGCGGATACTACATTGTATGTGATGATGCTAGTAAGGGGGCAGCCACACAACTGCAGAGAAGGAGTGGTTTCAGAGGACTGATTATCCAATGATGAAATTAGTAATGCACTCTGTTGAGTTTCTTAGACCTAACAAGCATTATATCTATTATATGGAGGCAGGAGGGTAGCATTTAGCATAAGATTGCCCAGAACTCCACTTTAGGAACAATATTGAATTATAACATTCCTAAAGACTAATGTGCAACACTGAAAACTTCCATGTCATGACACTATAATGCAAGAAACCTTTAGCTAAATAGGCATATCATGTTGGCAATTTTTTTATACACAACTGTACTAAGATTTAAGAGCTTTGCCCTCTTTGAAACAGATGTTTTTTTCTTACTTGAAATCTAAAAATAATCAAATAATAAAAGGGTTGTAACAAGTATTACCTTCTAATTCAGCTTCCTTTCTCTCCCGTTCTTCTTCTTCAGCCTTCTCTTGCAGCTTTTTCTTGTAGGCAGTCGTCACAAAAGCCTCCTTATCTTTAAATTCGTCTCCTTCCATCTCGCGTTCTTTCTGAATCTTTTTCTCCATCCGCTTTTCCTGTTCCTTCTTCCTCACTTCAACAGCTTTTAAGATATTTTGGATATACTTTGGCTAAGAGGAAAGAAAATATAAAAGCAAACTGTAAAGAAATATTTAAAGTTGCTCATCTTTAACCACTTCAGATCTCACACCTGTACACTCTCTATGGACCAGAACATTTTTTACGTTTCTGCTATGGGTCTGTTTATTCTGCAATACCTTTTTTATTATAGTGCCTTGAAAAAGTATTCATACCCCTTGAAATTTTTCACATTTTGCCATGTTACAACCAAAAATGTAAATGTATTTTATTAGGATTTTATGTCATAGACCAACAAAAGTGGCACTTAATTGTGAAGTGGAAGGAAAATGATAAATGTTTTTCAAATTTTTTACAAATAAATATCTGAAAAGTGTGGTGTGCATTTGTATTAAGCCCCCCTGAGTCAATACTTTGTAGAACCGCCTTTCGCTGCAATTACAGCTGCAGGTCTTTTTGGGTAATAATAATAATTCCATTGTAGCTCTGGCTATATGTTTGCGGTCGTTGTCCTGCTGGAAGGTGAACAATGATAAATGGTTTTCAAAATTTTTCACAAATAAATATCTGAAAAGTGTGGCGTGCCTTTGTATTAAGCCCCTTTACTCTGATACCCCTAACTAAAATCTAGTGGAACCAATGGCCTTCAGAAGTCACTTAATTAGTAAATAGAGTCCACCTGTGTGTAATTTAATCTCAGTATAAATACAGCTGTTCTGTGAAGCCCTCAGAGGTTTGTTAGAGAACATTAGTGAACAAACAGCATCCTGAAGGCCAAGGAACACACTAGACAGGTCAGGAATAAAGTGTGGAGAAGTTTAAAGCAGGGTAAGGTTATAAAAAAAATATCCCAAGCTTTGAACATCTCACGGAGCACTGTTCAATCCATCATTCGAAAATGGAAAGAGTATGGCACAACTGCAAACCTACCAAGACATGGCTGTCCACCTAAACTGACAGGCCAGGCAAGGAGAGCATTAATCAGAGAAGCAGCTAAGAGGCCCATGGTAACTCTGGAGGAGCTGCAGAGATCCACAGCTCAGGTGGGAGAATCTGTACACATGACAACTATTAGTCGTGCACTCCACAAATCTGGCTTTTATGGAAGAGTGGCAAGAAGAAAACAATTGTTGAAAGAAAGCCATAAGAAGTCCCATTTGCAGTTTGCGAGAAGCCATGTGGGGGACACAGAAAACATGTGGAAGAAAGTGCTCTGTTTAGATGAGACCAAAATGGAACTTTTTGGTCTAAAAGCAAAGGGCTAGGTGTGGCGGAAAACTAACACTGCATATCACCCTGAACACACCATTGCCATTGTGAAACATGGTGTTGGCAGCATCATGTTGTGGGGATGCTTTTCTTCAGCAAGGACAGGGAAGCTCGTCGGAGTTGATGGGAAGATGGATGGAACCAAATACAGGGCAATCTTAGAATAAAACCTGTTAGAGTCTGCAAAAGACTTGAGACAGGGGCGGAGGTTCACCTTAAAGCAGGACAACAACCCTAAACATACAGCCAGAGCTATAATGGAATTGTTTAGATCAAAGCATATTCATGTGTTAGAATGGCCCAGTCAAAGCCCAAACCTAAATCCAATTGAGAATCTGTAGCAAGACTTGAAAATTGCTGTTCACAGATGCCCTCCATCCAATCTGACAGAGCTTGAGCTATTGTGCAAAGAAAAATGGACAAACATTGCACTCTCTAGATGTGCAAAGTTGGTAGAGACATCCCCAAAGAATGTTTAAAACCTGTTAAAACCTGTTAGTCTGCAAAAGACTTGAGACTGGGGAGGAGGTTCACATTCCAGCAGGAGAACAACCGCAAACATACAGCCAGAGCTACAATGGAATTATTATTATTATTACCCAAAAAGACCTGCAGCTGTAATTGCAGTGAAAGGCGGTTCTGCAAAGTATTGACTCCGGGGGGCTGAATACAAATCCACGCTACACTTTTCAGATATTTGTAAAAAAATTTGAAAACCATTTATCATTTTCCTTCCACTTCACAATTAAGTGCCACTTGGTGTTGGCCTATCACATAAAATTCCAACAAAAAACATGTACGTTTTTGGTTAGAACATGACAAAATGTGGAAAATTTCAAACAGTATGAATACTTTTTCAAGACAAACAGTGGCCGGACGGCAAGTGGTTAAGATAATAAAGAAATTATGTTATTCTTTATGCAATCCGCAGACAAAAAAAAAAAAACTAAAAAAAAAGGAACTTTTCTACTTTGATCAGTGTTATTTTAAGGTCTCATGTGCACAGACAGGACGCTGAAAATATGCCTAGTATAAGATTTCCAAAGTTTTGTGTTCAGGAAATATATCATACATGTGGTAAACGCCAATGCAGAGAGGAACACAACCACGTTCAGACATTCACTTCAATGGCCTGCTGTATGAGGCACCTGAAAATGCAGGGAAATTTATGCTAGGCATATTTTTAGCCCCTCACCATCCCTATGCATGGGGCCTAAATGTATACATTTCATCCTATAATTACAAAATGATTTACCAATGAAATAAATGTTTTTTGTTCAGTTTTCCCTTTAATGCAAACAATTACCAAAACAAAAGTTTAACAGCAGATTAGGGTAAACTAAGGTTTTTAAAGTTAAATAGAAATAATTTTATTAAAGAAAAATAGAAGCTCACGCCCTTGCTCTTCAGATGAATGGAACAGTAATAGTAAATGCAAAATAACAATTTTACTTTTTACCACTCTATATGGCAACTGAAGAGTGTTTATAAACACTACGTAAGGAGGCTTAATCATCTCCCAGCTGTCATTTTGGACTGGGCATATTACACATGCCCCTTGTACTTCAATTACATTTTTTGGGTGAGTGTAGCAAGCCCAATGTCCACAACTAGAGAAGTACAAGAATCCATTTATTTGGCAAAAAGAGCCGCTGATGTACATTGAATTCAGTGTCCTTATGTGTTCTATTCACTCCAATTTCTGTATATTTAACTGGTTATCCGTTTCTAAAGCCAACTTTGTGATAAAAATAAGCCTCATGAATTAAAAAAAACCCTGACACCAGCTTAAAATATTGAAGGCAAAAAAACACAGAAAATAAAGTATTTTAATACTTAATTCCTTTCCCAAAATGGCTGTTTATTCAATTGTAAATTTGACCTCTTCACGTACAGTCTTTTCTCTAACGAAGACACCTCCTTGCACATCATAAGTTCCTCCCACTTGAGTGACAGCTCTGAATCTGCTGGGGCTGCTGACATCACATCCAGGATGCCAGTGCCCAGTAACAGTCTCAGGGCTTTTGAATGTCTACAAAGGGGAGGAGCTTTCAAGTAAATAACATGCATAAAAGATAATATATGTACATATAATCTAAAGATACAATTGTTAAAATTAATGGTCTGGTGACAGGGTCTCTTTAAAATTACTCAAAAGAAAACTATGGTACTGTCATTGCTGCCCTCTACCTTGAGAATGTCGGTTCCCTGGCAATCAGGCTGATGATTTCGCTTCAATGGTTTCTCAATCTCTGACCCAGAGCAAGTATACAAAAGGAATTTGAACATTTGTCTGGCAGTTATAGCATGCTTGTTTCAGTTCTGTAATTGTTCCCTAAGCCTTTGGGACGGACTGAACACAGTAACTTAATTCAAATCTGCGCATAGTTCTATAACTTCCTACACTCAGCTCAACATTTCAGCTTTCATGCTGAGTTTTACCTGAGAGATTTTACATGGTGGACTAATCAGGTTTTCATGCAAATAGCAAAGTTTTGTAATGACCAGGGCATCTTGTCAAAATGCAGTATATTGCCAAAAGCATTGGAACACCCCTCCAAATCATTAGATCCAGGTGTTCCAATCACCTCCATGGCCACAGGTGTATAAAATCAAGCACCTAGGCATTCAGACTGCTTCTACAAACATTTGTGAAAGAATGTTTCGATCTCGGAAGCTCAGTGAATTCAAGCGTGGGTACCGGGATAGATTGCCACCTGTGCAAGTCCATCCGTGAAATTTCCTTGCTACTAAATATTCCACTGTCAACTGTTAGTGGTATTATAAAAAAGTGAAAGCAACTGGGAACAACAACCACCCCATGAAAAATGGCAGAGTGGGGTCAGCATATGCTGCGCAGAAGTCACCAACTGTCTGCAGAGTTCATACCTCAAAACTTTGTGTGGCCTTCAGATTAGCACAACAACAGTGCGTAGAGAGTTTCATGGAATGAGTTTCCATTGCCAAGAAGCTGCATCCAAGCCTTACATCACCAAGTTCAATGCAAAGCGTTTGTCAGGGGGATGAATGGAAGAGGCCTTCCTAACAGGTTTGGTCACTTTAAATATCTCACGATAACCTTTGGACTCTTTAATGCCCTGGCCACTTTCGAACCTTTTTGTTAGTGACATTTTCTGAGTGACACTTTTATGTATTTTTGATCATGTACTAAGATGACATTTTGATTTACCTACCTCACTGGAAGAGCATCGGAAATATGAAAGGTGTTAGGCCACTTCTGTACTCACTGGCTGTATCTTAAACCTGAAAAGTGTTTCACTAGTACTGGAGTGGCGAGCTCCTACTGATATAAAAGAGGATTCTGTCCTGTCAGCGGTGCAGAAAAATGAGCAAACCCCGGTCACTCTATTATCCCAACATACCAGCTCGTATGTCCCCTCTTCTTGGCCTTCCTTCATAGGATGAAAATGCTATTCACCTTGGCACCTATCTCACATCACCTGACCCGACCCGGTCTTGCCTTTTATCCTGGAAGTTGACACTTTCAAATCCATGGTGGGAGCAATTCTATCTCAATGATCATGTCCTACAGCTTTTTTTTTTACCTTGTCGACTTTAAGAGAGTTGCAGGCAACCAAAGGGGCCTTAGAAGTGTGGTGCTACCTACTGGAAGTGACAGACCATTCCATTCTTACCATAACCGATCATAAAAACCTGAATTGCCTAAGAACTGCTAAGTGACTTAGGCCACACCAAGCTACATGGGCTCCTCTTTTCTAGATTCAACTTCTACTTGACTTAT